GCAGGAGGGGGGCCCGGCGCCCCTGAACAGGCTCCTGGTCGTGCGGGGGCTTCTGGAAGTAGGTTACGAGCTCTCGCGTCTGCGTTCAGACCGTCCCTGCGCGGCGGCGCTTTTGGCTGCGCTGGAGTCGCCCTGGACCAGGCGCTGTCCCCTCCCTCGTCCCCGCCTGCGCCCTCTCCCCCAGCTGCCCGGGTTGCGGGGGGATTAAATCCCGTCCTTCTTTTGAAACCGATGCAGGAGTGTGGTGGTGGTTTTTGTTTTGAGTTTAGAAAGAGGTCTTCTAAAAAACTTATGTGGGTGTAACTGATTTTCATCTCACCAATTCTTAGACTTCCCCAAGAAGTTTCCTGAGCTCGTTTTCTTATAGATAGGGAAACCTAAGTTACCGAGAGGCTGTGTGTCCCTGTTGCCGGGCCTGTCCCTTGTGTGTAATTTTTTTTTTTTTTTTTTTTTTAGAGAGGGAGGGAGAGTGAAACTTTGATTGGCTACCTCCTGCATGCTCCATACCAGGGACTGAACTTGAAACTGGGGCATGTGCCCTGACCAGGAGTTGAACCAGGAACCCTTCTGTGCATGGGACGATGCCCAGTCAAATGAGCCACACGGGCCAGGGCTTAAAGATGATTTTTAAGTGCATAGTGACCTGATTTCTGGTATACTTGAAAAGTTATCAACTTTTAATTTCTTCAGTTAAGTTACTATAACTCCTGATTGCACTTTCTTGACTATAAGATTAACATTTCTTAGATTAGGTTAAATTTCTAAAAAGTATAACACTTTTGCTAAGTTGTCTTTAGGAATGAGATTTTAATCAATAAATATGACTTAATGCTCCTAAATTACTTTTCTGGACTTAGAAATTCTCTNTCATTGCCCGGCTGCCTCTTGCACGCCCCCTACTGGGGATCGAGCCTGAAACCCGGGTATGTGTCCCCACCGGGAGTCAAACCCTGACCTCCTGCTTCAGAGGTCAGTGCTCAACCGCTGAGTCACACCGGCCGGCCCTTGTTGTGTATTTTATTTTGTAGCCTGTGTTAGAAGCCAAGCCAGAGCTCCCCTCAGTACAAGTTAAACACTAGGCTTAGCTTGGAAACCAGGGCCACCATGCCCTGCTGTAGCCGGTCAGGTAGAAGGACTTCTTACGCTTCAAACCTTTGGCTCCTCCTGGAGTGTCAGGCTCTTGTTCCCACCTGAGGTGTCAAAGGAGAGGCCACAGAGAGACAGCTCCTCACTCTGAGCGTGCCTCAGTGTTGGAGACGTTTCAGAGACAGAGACAGGGAAGGAGTTAGCCAATGCCCAGAACGTTTCCCTAGGTGTCGAATCAGAGCGGAAGGAGCTCGGGGTCAAAAGCCAAAAGCCCCCGTGTTTGCACTTTACACAGATTGTAGGGAAGGAGCAAAAAGGTAGAAAATGCTTTATGCTCTTAACAATTGGGATTTCATAAGGATAATTCAAAACAAAACCTTAGAAATTGAGAACAGTCTGGGCAACACCTTTTCAGGCCAGTGAAAGCTAATAGAAATGGGGAGGACAGTCAGGCTGTTCTGGATAAAACTGGATGAGTCTTCCTTTGTTTGATAAAAGCAGATAGTAGATTGAAAGTCCTTGTGGCATTTTTGTCGTGTGTCAGTGAAAACCTTTGTTTAAAACAACGGCTTGTGACGTCTTTTATCCGTGTAGTGTCTTTTATCCGTGACAGTGCTCAGGGCAGTGGTTTTGAGGGGAAACTACCACAGGAGTACTTTCTGGCATATTCCTGCTCCCCGCCCTTCCCAGGGTGGTTGGGGCATCACCTGTCGGCTGCAGGGCGTGCTGCCTCCTGCCCCTCGAAGTTTCCAGGCGTAACCACTCACCTTCAGGAGGGCTTTGATCAACATAAAATCAGGTCCTGGAGAAGGGACGCTCTTTGTCCAGTAGTCGTCCAACTAAGTTTTACCAATGACAGCCCTGCCCCACCACCCCAAGAAAATAATTAAGTAAATAAATAAAGGAAATGACAAGTTAGAAGATTTCCTGTGGTTCTTTTAAATCAGCCTAACGTGTGTGTATAGATCCTGGAACCAAGTTTGGTGTTTTGTTTTTTTTTTGAGGAACCCAGTCATTCATGATTCATGGTGGGGTTTCCCCCCCTTTTTTTGTGTGTGAATCTGAAGAGCAAAATATCAGTGTTTCAGATATATTCTTTATAAATGATGGTTAAAGACTGAAGTTGTGTTTTTCTGGCTGAAATGGTAAGAGTTGAGAATCAGGGTAGCACTCAGGGCGTCCTCCGGAATATGACGGGCCGCACCCCGTGCTTCATCGCCTGGGAACACTGGTGGGCACTGCAGGGGAAGCATGTTCCTCTCAGTGACGGCCGGGCCTTCCTAGTCTGTAGTAACCGTCTTGTTTCACTTCCAACAGATAATCCGTGTGCAGTCCCCAGATGGGGTGAAGCGGATCACTGCGACAAAGAGGGAGACAGCTGCAACATTTCTGAAAAAGGTACTTGGGACTTTGGCTGTTTACCTTTCAGGATTTCAGCCCTCCACTGTGACTCCCTTCCCTTCTCTGCCTTCTCTACTTTCCTGGTCCCACCCACCCCAGGGGTCAGTCAGTCACATTGCTTTTTCCTGTTGTGATTGGTTGGACTGATAAGGGATCAGATTGTGTCACAGGTGGCACAGCTTACAGCTGTAGGACCAGGTCCCAAAGGAAGCGCAAAAGGGTTTCACAGGAGTAGTGTTTATGAGAGAGAAAACCTCAGACTGTCTGGCTAAGGGGAATTGTTAAAAACGTGTAGAATGATCCCGCTTTGTTCTTAAGACATGAACACCGTATAGAGCTGTCGTGTTAGCGCAGACTGTGATGAGGAGAGCACAACCTGGGAGGAGAGGCTGCAGTGAAAAGAAAACAGTAAACTGACTCATGGGCTGGTCTCCTAGTTTTGCAAATAAAGTTTTATTGGGACACAGCCATAGTTCCTGAGTAATGTATTGTCTTGCTGCTTTTGATATCCAGTGACCGAGTTGAGTAGTTGTGACAGAGTCAAATATTTACTGTTGGCCCTTTACAAAAAGTAGTTTCCAACCTCTACTTATGCATTTTGTATTATTTGAATTTGTTGCAAGCAGATGATACCTTTGTAATGATAAAATAATGTTTTTCATTTTTCATAAACAAAAAAATTGTTGGGTCATAGACTGTTAGAGTCAGAGGGAACCTCAGGTATTATATAGTCTGATCTTTTTTTTAAAAATATACTTTTATTGATTTCAGAGAGAGGAAGGGAAAGGGAGAGCATTAAGTACCTTCATATTATGCAGCCATCACCACCATTCATCTCCAGAACTTGTCAGTTTGCAAATCTGAAACCCTGTCCCGGTTAAACACTAATTTTCCCTTCCCTCCCCCACCTCCTGGTAACTACCATCCTGCCTTCTTTCTCTATGAATCTGTCTACTCCAGGTATCTTCTATTAGTAGGATTATACTCACTTTTAAAAATGAATAATTTGGCTGTACATATGTATACAAAGCCCTGTAAGTGGGTTTGAAATGGCCTTCCTGTCCTCACAAACCTGCCTGTCAAGTGTGTGGTCCACTGTGAACATTGCTGGCTCCAGCTCGCTGTCCCCATACTTGGTGGCCTCGATCTTTGTTTAATATGTGGCATTGTGCCCTGTAAGGAAGTTGCAAGTGTGATGACATCGTGTCCCTTGCAGATTCCTCACAGCATCGTAGTCACTATTTCCTTTGAGACCATCTGTTGCTTCTCACTCAAGTTCCCTCTCTGAGTCATCAGCTGTGACCCCAGGACAGGCTCCTCTGGCCCCCCCGCTTACCTGTGCTCTGGCTGCCTTCTGCTGTCGCTCCCCTGAAACAGCCCCTGTTGAGGCACGCCAGGTCCTACCTGTTCTTTCTCGTGGGCGGTTCTGACCTGTCTTAATTGGTCTCTCAGTAGCGTGTGACACAGTCTCTTCTTTTAATACTTGGAAGCTTTTTTTTAACTATGAAATAAAATACATACTAAGGAGTCCCTGAAAAATAGGGGCAGCCGAGTGATGATGAAGCAAAGGCCCAGGTCACAGTGGGGGTGGTGCCTGTGCTCTGGAAGCTGTTGGGCAGCCTTCCGAGCTCCTGTACCCTGTTGCCCCTCTCCTGACCCTGTGGGAATTGCCCCCTCCTGTGTGTCACCACTTCAGCATGCATTCCTGAACTCTAAATCTTAGTTTTGCTGTTTCTGAGTTTAACTTAAATGGAGTCATGCTGCGTATTCTCTTTTGTTACGTTCAGTGGTAAATATCTGTAGTACTTTCAATTCATACCGTGTTTTTGGCTTTATTACAGCATCACATCAGGATGACCCCAGATGTGGATATAAAGTGTTTAAGATTTTAATGGTGCTCTTGTGAGGTTCTGCTGAGATTCTGTTGAAATGCCCAGTGCCTTACATTAGATTTCGGTGTCTTCACAGGCAGAACTCGCGAAGTTCACAGAAGCAGTGATTTTTCTCAGGAGTACTGTAGAAAAATACACACATTCCTGCATCTCCCCAGTGGGATCAGCATATGTGGGGGCTATCGCTGGTTGTCACATTTGAGATGCAGCTGCATCAGTCCTGACAGAGCATGACGCTCCAGTCGCATGGTCGTTGCACAGTCACCTTCACTTAGAGGCTGGCTGCAGGACACCCCTGCCCCGTTTTGGACGTGGCTTTACATCTAGGAGTATTTAACGTTTGTACAGCTGAACCATCCTGTGGAAGATTCCTCATTCTTGGTGGTAGTTTGCAGTGTTTTGTCCACAGGAAAAGCACAGTTTTTGTGGAACTGGTGAAATGCCACACTTAGTTAATTTCAGTTTATATCTAAGCAGTTTCAAGGAGGAGTGAAATTAAAGCCATTATTTTTAGTCCTGAGTCCTGATTTTTTTGCACTTGGGGATACAAATTCATCACGGTCTTATTTTCCTGATGGCACTTTTGGTTTGGGAAAAAAACACATGGTATCAAATATTATAGTACATCTGATATAAAATCTCAACTTTGTCTTAGAGATCATTTCTTATCACTTTCAGAATGACAAGGTGGAGTTAGTTTTAATCCATTTTTTAAATCAGTAGAAAATAGGTTAGTATGTAGAGTTAGTTATTAAGTCAACTCTTTTCCCTTAGAGTAAATAAATACTAGATTCTATCGGTAATTCCATATGAAAGGATAAATTACTTGTAGGTGAAAAGAAACAGGTAGGAGAGGGTATGGTTGAAGGGAGTGTCCAGCACTCAGGGACACAGCTGCTCCCTGGTCTCGTTCCTGACCTGCGTCATCCCGGTCAGGATTCTGCTGGCAGCTCTCTGTTGGTTTCCTGCCTCTGCCTGGCTTGTTTCTCCAGTGTTTCCTTTGGGTCTGAGTTTCTGTCTGGTCCATTGTGCAGCCTGAAGACTGTCCAAGAGCTCTTACTGCAGTTGAGCCTGTTGGCCATGACTCCCTTGGGTGTGGTTGACCTAAAGTCATTTTCCTTTCACCCTGCTGATTGAGAGCATTTTCACCAGCGACAGAATTCCAAGCTGACAGGCTTGATTTCCCCTCGGCGCTTGAAAGGTATCACTCCGTCATCTTCTGGTCCCCATGATGCTTGGTTCAGTGGTGTGACCACAATGTGCCTAGGGACTGCTTTCTCTTTTATTTTATTTTAGGTTTGCTGAACTCTCTGGGTTTGTTACTCTCTCTGTTTTTCATCAAATTTGAGGTTTTCAGCCATTTTCTTTCCAATATTTTTCAGTTTTGTTCTTACTCTCTTCTCCTGAGGATCATTTGATGTTGTCCCGGGTTTCCTCGGGCTATTCATTTTTCTTTCAGGTCTCTGTCTTCAGAGATCCTGCCTATTGACCTATTTTTAGGTTAATGACTCTTACTTCTGTCATCTCCCTTCTGCTGACAAGCCCATCAGTGAGTTTCCATTTTAGTTACTGTATTTTTCAGTTGCAGCATTTCCTCCAGTCCATGTACATGGTCCTCCTGCTTTGTTGTCCCTTCCCAGCTCTGCACGTGACAGGCTCACTGTCCTTCAGGCCTCTGCTCACATGGGCTCCTCAAAGAGGCCTCCTCTGTTCTCTCATCCAGAGTGGCCTCTCCTGGGCATCTCTCTTCCTTTCCTGCCCTGGGGCTTTTGTCGGCCTGTGGTTTCATCTTTGTTGACTTTGTCTCCCTTGTTTGATGGTCAGACCCTTGATGGCAGGAACCTTGTCTGTTTTTATTCGGGGTTCTGAGCACCGGAGTGGAGCCAGCACGCAGGACTGCTGCTGTGCGCTGGGTGACTGTGCGTGATCCAGCAGGTGTTCGTTACTCATGTACAGATGTCTTTCGACACTTCATTCTTCTGTTAGGGTCAGGATTGGGATTGGCTTTTACAGTTGATTTCAACAGTAGAGGTCAAACCTCCAGACAGGGCCATGACTCTGGCTTCAGACTCTTAAATGTGTCACCCAGTCTTTGTGTTCACAGAGCTTTGCTTCTTTTTGGCCACTTTCTTCATTTTGCTTGACATCTACGTCGGCAGTGCTAACTTCCTCACAAGAGAAAGTAATGAGACAAACTGAGTGAGTGCTCTAGTGACACCTGAGGTACCTGCAGTCAGCAGTGATACTTAAATATCTGACTAAATCTCTGTTGTTTGGGCCTTGTTTCAGGTTGCAAAGGAGTTTGGCTTCCAGAATAATGGTTTCTCGGTTTACATCAATAGAAACAAGACTGGAGAGATAACAGCATCATCCAATAAGTCCCTCAACCTGCTGAAAATCAAGTAAGTGCCCCCAGGGAGGAGAAGTGGGGAGGATGGTGGGTGACACCAGTTGTCTACGGAGGCTGCTTGGTTCACACCTGGTTGCTCCTCAAGCCCCTCTTATTACAGTCTCTTCACCAACTGCAGTGCAGGGGACCCACCGTATTTTCCCCAGGTGTTAACAGTCACACGATCTAGTTATTGGTGAGCTGGTTTGATTGACTTGCAGAATTCCAAGACGTGTGTCACTTAGCACTAAGTTACGGTCTCAGGCCATGTGTGCAGCTGTACCCTCAGCTGCTCCCCTGCAGGTTAAGGACCTTGAATGGAGCTCTGAGCAGGGTTCTGCCTCGGGACCTGCATGGTGGGCAGGTAGGAGGGCCAGCAGTTGGGCCCGTTGCCCATCTTCCATTTCTTGCTGACAGGACCTCTCAGGGTGCCTTGGAGCTGATTTGACGTGTCAGGAGGGGATTTCAGGGTGCAGAGCCCTCTTGCTGCAGCCCCACCTGCTTCTGTAGTTCACGTGTTTTCCCTCCAGGGGTGGAGCTGAGTGGTGACAGATTGCAGTCTGCAAAGCCGAAAGGAGTTATTTACTGTTGGGCCCTTTACGGAAGTATGCCAGCTCCTTCTAAATGGTTGGCACATGATCACAACTCAGTGGGCAGGACCCTTCACATGGGTTCAGTTCCTGAGAGAGCAGCTCCCCGGCCAGTCTGCAGGCAGCGTGGCCGCCCTTGCCTGAGTATTGGGCTGGGCTCTGCTGGCAGCTGACTGTGTGCCCATTGACCAGAGTAATAGGCAGTTTGGGCCATTTGTGTGATCATTTCAGGGTTTACAAATTATGTCCAGGAAAAAAAATTTACCATTATAGCGTTGATTTGTTCTTCAACTGATATTTGTTGGGCACCTGCTGCAAAAGCCTTTAGATAGAGCCTTTTGTTGTGGTTTGTGTCCGTGTCCAGTGTGGACAGTTCATCTTTCCTCCCAGCTGGGAAAGGGCCTTTGCCTCTGCAGATCACTTCTCAGGAGTGTTACATGTGGGTTTGGATTCTCACTCCGCCACCTACTTACTGGCTGTGTGCCTGGGACAGTCACTCACCCTCCCTGGGCCTTACCACCCTGGCCTGCTGGGTGCTGCTCACCTTTGCCTGGTTGCACGGTGCCTGCACGTGATAAGCACTGAATTGACTGCTCTGTCTGTAAGAACTACTCTGATAGCTGTAGACAAGAAGGGAGGCTGCCAAACGACACACCGCGAGACCAAACCGACAAACGAGTGTGGTCACACCAGTACCAGGCCAGAGGCGTGGGGCAGCACAGCCCTCCCAAGGCGCTGGGAGTGGTTGTCCTTCTGAATTTCCTGGAGTGTGTGTAGCTTTCCTGCAATAGTTGTGATGCCTACTGGCCAGTACAGATCTGAACCTGCGGTCTCCGTGCGGTCACTGCCGAGTCACCTGACTGCTCCACCGTGTCCTTACTCCCTGGGCTCTGTGTGGTTCTGTCTACTTCATTGTAGTGACCTTTTCTTCTCTGGCTGTTTTTGAAGTCTCCTGCCCTCTTTGAGTCCTCCAGTTTCCTTTGGCCTGACCAGGTGTGGGTTCCTGGTTTGTCATTTGTTTAATCCTACTTAATATAGGTTATGTTTTCTGTGTCTGCAGCTCAGCTCTGGAAAACTCATGGTGGTTATCTCTAAATTTACCTCTCCCCATTCTCTTTATTATTTCAGTGGTTACATTTTCACTTTTAAATACTGTTTGATTCCTTTTCTACAGAGAGGGCTTTCGTTTGCTTCTGTTGGTACGAGGGAGTGCTATGGACCTGGCTCCCCTTTTGAGACAGTTTTTGTCTTCAGGCTTTAGAGGTGACTTTCCTGTTACATAGACGGTGGAGGCAGACAGGATTCCTCCTTGGGTTTTCCCTGCTGTTGAGACATCCTTAGTCATTTGGCTTTGTGTAGTTTCAGGCTTGGCAGCCCGCTCTGGGTGGGCAGGCTCTGGGCCTCGTCAGCTCCAAAGGTCCCTGTGACGAGCTTCCAGAGGGCAGCTCTGAGCTGTGCTCCTGCTGCTCTTGTTTGAACTACTCCTGGAGTTTTGGACCCTTGGGGATTCCTCACTTTCTTTAGCTCTCAACAGTGCATTTTAGCAAATATTTGTTAAAACTGACGTGACAGCTAAGTGCAGCGTTCCATAGCTGAGGGTGCTTGGGAATATCTGATCCCTGCTATAAGTAGAAGCCTCTCCTTATAGTTTGGCAATTTTATGGCCCTGAAGTGATGGAAGGAAAAGAGGGGAGAACAGATGTCAGAGTAGCTACAGCCCCACCTCCGGTCGTGCTGTGTGCCAACAGCTGAGCCCTGCCCCTGTCTCCTGTCCCGTGCATCTGGCTGGCAGCTGCTGAACCTTTACCCAGTGGCGGAGCTGCAGTGCTTCTGTGGGGACAGTGCTGGGCCGAGTGCTGCAGACCGTCTCTGGTCACATGGCTGAGTGCTGCTGTGAGCTGCCCGGGGTGGCACATGCTATGTAGCCTCCAGTTGTAGAGTTTACTGTGAGTAAGGTCCTGCATTTTGCCAGCAGTGCGAGGCTGATCAAGGGAGGAACACAATTTACCCAGGAAGTGATAGAAAACCAAATGCTGCTGTTGGAACTGTGAATTCTGGCAGCCTTTTTGAAAGCAGAACGTCAGCAACTTTAAAAAACAAACAAATCCTCCGTCCACCAGGGCCAGCGCCCTGCTGAAGGAAAGCTGTGGCTGCTTGTCTTGGGGCATTTCCTTCTGTGGTGTTCCTGGTGGCAGGAGCCACAGAGGCGTGGGCCCACCAGTGTGGGAGCCGCAGAATGAATCCTGGGATGGCTTCACTGGGGAGCATCGTGCAGCCATCAGAAGTGACGATTAGACGAGACTGTGTTTGGGTGGATTTTGTGAGGTGGTGTTGCATGAGAAAAGGAAGTATAAACAGTATGTTTTAAGAATCTCATATTTGTCCAGCAGTGACATACGCATACATGTGGGGTATGGGTGCAGGAATGTAGAGAAAGAAATAGAAGGATGTGTCCAAGGCAGATGGGATGTAGGGGCTCTGAATAGGGGCTAAGGAGTAAATGAAGGAAAGTGGGAGCCAAGCAGAGAATGAGAGGGAGAAGCTGCCTGCACACGCAGTCCATGTTGTGACTGTACAGCTGACCCTTGAACAATGCGGGTGAGCGTGTGGATCCACTTATATGTGAATATTTTCTAATAAATGCATAGGTCCAACCAGTATTGAAAACAGTATTTTCAGTCTGCGGTTGGAAATCTGCAGGTGTGGAGGGCTGACTGCATTGATCTGAGCCATCTTATATAAGGTTGGCGCCCAGCCCCCGTGTTGTCCCAGGGTCAACTGTGTCTTCATCTGTGCAAAACCAGATAGGTCTGTGGGCGTGCTCATACGTGCTGAAACCCGGTTGTGAAAGAAGGTGCAGTTCCAGAGACCCTGCTGCCGACCTTCATAGAGTTAGGAGCAGAAGAGAGATCGGAGAAGAGAGTTCTGGGCTTTTAAAAGTGGAAACCTCATTGTTTAGGCTTTCAGGGTGGTTGGTGTTTGCTTTTTGCAGATGCCAGAGATTCTTGCATCCAAGTGGATCTGTGCAGCTCAGGTTCTAGAAGGGCGATGGGCCTCACCTGACGTTTGTCATTTAACAGGCATGGCGATTTGCTGTTCCTGTTTCCCTCGAGCATTGCTGGGCCCTCATCTGAGATGGAGACATCAGCCACACTGGGGTTGAAGGCCTTCGGTGCTCCCAACGTGGTAGAAGATGAGATTGACCAGTACCTGAGCAGACAGGACGGGAAGATTTACCGGAGCCGCGACCCACAGCTGTGAGTGCTGGGCCAGCCTGCTGGCTTCAGGGCTCAGTCGGGAACTGTTTATAGAGCGTCCTTGTAGCGAGGGTCAGATGAAGAGCCTGAGTCTGCAGTTTGACCACCTGTTTTCTGATTAGGTTTCACTGCATTATTTGTAACCTTTCTCATTGTTTGAATCTTTGGGTGTATTCCATGTGGACTTGAGAGTTTTCAGGTGTTTGGAACTAAGATTTGAAAGAAGAAGGAGCATTAAACCTAGTCTTTACCCTGATGTGCCCTAGAGAGACTTGACTGCTCCATGGTAGAGGGGGCTTTAGAACGTGTGCCGGGCACTGGTTTCCAGCGCTGGCTCCCCACCTGTGCCTTTGAGCTTCATTAGCAGCCTTTTAGAGGGTGCATGTGCACACCGACCTGTCCTCCGAGCTGCAGAGCCTTGCCTGTTAGGGGATATCAGCTGTCTACTCAGAAATGTAGAGCTCACGGGCATCTGAGAGCCTGAGCCTGTTTAGAAAGGGTTCCAGTTGAGCTGGGAGGGACCACTCGGCTTTCCCACCAGCCATCTCTGCCCTCCTCCCCTGAGCTCATCTGCACTGTCCCATCGCATGTGCAGAGCTTCCGAGGCTTCTGACCAAAGTGACTGAAACCCACAGAGCCAGGCGTCCTCTGTAGGCTTTTCCCCAAAATGTGTGTGACGGGGTGTTTTCCAAACCCGGGTTATTTACCTACCACTGTCAGGGTTTTCCCCATATCCATGGACCACCTTCCTTAGTATTTGCTTAACATTTGTGTGTTTTTTTAAATGTTGACTTAGCTGCAGGCTGTTTTATTTTTTTATAAATATATCTTTATTGATTTCAGAGAGAGGAAAGGAGAGGGAGAGAGAGAGAGAAACATCAATGAGGAGAGAGTCATTGATCAAGCCCACAGCCGGGCATGTGCCCTGACCGGGAATCGAACCCTGATCGCCTGGATCCTAGGCCGACACTCAACCGCTGAGCCACACCCGGCCGGGCAATATTTGTTTTTCAATGACCTTAAATCCACTCACTTTTATTTTTGGTTAGTGTCACTTTAAGCAGTTAATGTCCATGAAATCACAGGTTTGAGGTGCTGGTCATATTTTTTCTAATACACATCAAAATTAACAGAACTATTAAAAACATTCACTGGGTACCATCTAAAATAACTTCACTTTATTAAGTCTGATGTACTTTTTAAGCATTCGAAGCTCCAGGAGGCAGCAGTAGGAGAACAGGCGTGCTAATTGCATTGTTTCTCNAGCAGTAGGAGAACGTGCTAATTGCATTGTTTCTCTGCCATGCTCTTCTCAGATGCCGACACGGGCCGCTGGGGAAGTGCGTGCACTGTGTTCCTCTGGAGGTGAGTCTGGATAAGTCCTGCTTCCCAGTGGCTAAGTACTTCCCTGACCCTGCCCTTGCCCGGGTGGTTCAGAGAGCTCATCTGTTATTGCCTCGAGTGCAGGCTACAAGGAAGCGAGCCGTTATTTATGGCACTGACCTTCTGGGTGGATTATGAATGGCTCAGGCGTTCGTGATAAAGGGGCCCTATTTACTGTGGGCTCCCTGGACAATCCTTTAAAACGTGACACAAAGCTGGGCCTGGCAGTTTCGTGCTCATGATTGTTTTGATTTACTTTGCCCTGCTTCTCACGCCTCCTCTGCTGATTTGTCTGGTGAGATTGAGAGTTACCATAATAATGCTGACTGGTACTGGCTAACCCTGAATTTACAGCAGGAGGCCAACCCAATTTTCTCCATGAGACTTCTCTTGCTTCATCTTGTGACACTTTTTTTGCAAAATTTTCCCGATATTTACTTGACTTAAAACATTTTATAGTTAATGTTCATTTTCCGTTTCCATCTTGAAAAGATAGTTGGTGCCCAAAGAAAAGGTCTATTCTGGCCTAGAGTGATAGTGAGAGCCAGCCGTGCTCCTCCTCGCCCTCTGTGGCCTGGTCCTCCCTGCTGCACCAGGCTCAGCTGCCCACGGGCCTTTTAGCCACAGTGGGTGTGTGACTGGTCTGACTGTATCTTGGCAGCCATTTGATGAGGACTACCTGAACCATCTCGAGCCGCCTGTGAAGCACATGTCCTTCCATGCCTACATCCGAAAGCTGACTGGAGGGGCTGACAAGTAAGTGACTCAAGTGCGGCCAGCCCTCAGAGTTTGTTTTGTGTGTCTGCTAGGCGTTGTTGCTTAAAGCCACTGGGCATGTGAATGAGAAAAGCAGAGATTGGGGCCTGGGCCCAAAGCACTTGAATCCATGGACTTTGCCCGATTATGGAAAAGAAATGGGTGGGTGGAAAATCCGACGGCCTGCTGTTGTCCACGGAGCCAGAGTATTGGGCAGATGCCAGGTTGGTGATGCCACTGGAGGCCCCCAGGGACCTCCTGACCTCACCTGAGTGTGTGGTGCATGAAGGTGGATGAGCTAAGGTGTGATGGTGGCCAGTGTGTCTGGCATCTTAAGCTTTTCCTCAGCTTTTTGGAAAAACAGAACCACCCCATGGCAATGTCGGACCCTCGGTCAGCCCCTACCTGGACCTGGGGTGGAGCAGCCCAGTAGGACTGGAGCAGTGGCACTAAGCTGGGCCATCTGTAGGCTCAGGCAGGGGGCATGGGTGGAGGAGTGTAGGCCAGACAGTGGCCAGAAATGGCAAGCTTTGACCATTTGATTTCTTTTAAACCATGTCAAATACTTGCCTGTGTGACCCCTTCTGTTGACTACGTGCTCACCTACCCAGAAAGTGATAGACTTCCTACCACGATTTTATAATTCCTGCCAGTGCAGCAAGAGAAGGTGGCTGAACCCAAGTCAGCAACACTGTGTGAGGGATGTCATGTGGGCCTGACTGTAGTTTTTCTCTGACAACCTGCTGAAATCCTAAAATGACTTTCAAAGAAGTTAGGCCAGGAGAAAAAATCCCACCAGAAACTCATTCTTGCCTGTCAGTGGATAAGCTATGGAACTTTATGGACTGGGGGATGACTGTGTCAGCCTTTCTTCTGTCTGGGTCCAGGACTGTGGACTTGGCAGGGGCACGTTTGTAGCTGTCACCAACCTGCAGACAGACATGGTGGCAGCCTTCGCTCCTGCATGCCCCCAACAGCAGCCAGTGGCTGATGGAGACAAGGTCGCATGTTTGGACTGTTTTGTGAACTGGAAACTGGCAGAGAGCTCACCCCAAGTTCAGAGTGGGGCCAGTGCTTCTTTACGGGCAGTCTTCTAACCACAGTTTTTTATTTTTGCCAGAAGCAGAGTGAAGATATCTTTGTTCCATCTCCCAATCAGGTTTTTCCCATAAATAATTTTTTATAGCTGTCTTAAGTATGAGTCTCATAGTGTGAGTGGTGCTGATAAATTAATGAAACTTGAAAAGGGCAGCATTTCCCTTCAGGGGCACAGGTTAGGTCAGTAGATAGTCAACAGTATATATATATATTTTTAAGATTTTTTTTAAATGGGTTTTAGAGAGAGAGGGAGGGAGAGAGAAATATCAATTGGCTGCCTCCTGCACGCCCCCTGCTGGGGATTGAGCCCACAATTGGCACATGCCCTCACCGGGAATCGAACCTTCCACCGACTGAGCCACACTGGCCATGGCTCGACAGTGTTTTGAAAATCATTGTGTTAGTGGTAGACATTGGAAGTTAGGGTGGTGTATGTGGGAGAAGGGTTGTGTGCCCTATAGTCTGAGAGCACCAGACAGGCGGGGCTCCACCAGGAGAGCTCAGACTTCCTCCTGCTGCTCCTGCACCTGCTTTGCTCCGTAGAGCTCTGCTCAGAGTATGAGGCATCTGAATTCCCAGTCTTCTGCCAGGCTTTTCATGTTGTCATGTCTAATTAAGTCGCCTCTTGTTCAGGGGGAAGTTTGTTGCCCTGGAGAACATCAGTTGCAAGATTAAGTCAGGGTGCGAGGGACACCTCCCGTGGCCCAATGGTATCTGCACGAAGTGCCAGCCCAGCGCCATCACACTGAACAGACAGGTGAGAGGCTCAGGTGGACCCTTCTGTGGAATCGCACTGAGATGTGCCTTTTGAGATCTGAAGCTCTTGCGAGCAGGGGCGGGGCCTCGGTTTTTTGTTTCCCCACCTTGTGTGGAGGCATAATTTTCCTGGTGCCTGTTTAAAATGCTCAGTGCTTGTGACTTTGCCTTTTAAGAAATTGTGTCTGGAAACTTGTGAAGCTCTGTCCTGCACCCAGCTCAGGGCACCTGTCCAAGCCAGGTTAAGAAGGGAGCTAGTCTGGAACAGGAGAGGAACCAGGGAAATTGCATGTGTTGTTCTGGCTTTTCCTGCTCTGTGGCCCTGCCCCCTGAGAATAGTCACCCCATGCTCCCGTTTGCTCCTCAGGATCCTGAGGCTTCCTGGGCTGCTTGGGAACCTTTCTTCCTCTCCCTTCTCTCCTCACTCCATCTCTGTCCTTTTCTTTCTTTCTGAGAACTAATCTTTCCTCTAGAGAGTTTGAAAAGCTCCATTCTAGGTGAAATCCCAGTAAGATTATTTTGAATTAATTTATTGAGGAACCCCACCTCTACCCCACCTACCTGCCCACTAGAATCTGAGGTGGTGCTAAGCGCAGAGCACATTTTTAAAAGGCGTGTGTGTTAAGAGCCGGGTAAAGCTGTTTATTTTTACCTATGTAGTTTTATTAACTATTGTCACCCAATAAGTTTAACTTAAGAACGGCCATTTGTTTTTGAAGGATGTTTTTGTTTAGCCCGCTGTTGTTGACTCTACAGAAATACAGGCATGTGGACAATATCATGTTTGAGAACCACACAGTTGCTGACCGCTTCCTTGACTTCTGGAGGAAGACGGGAAGCCAGCACTTCGGGTACTTGTATGGACGGTACACGGAGCACAGGGACATTCCTCTGGGCATCCGGGCCGAGGTGGCTGCCATCTACGAACCTCCTCAGGTGGGTCTGCGGTGCCCTTTCAGATGTACCTGCTTTTCTTTCATCCTTTGCACAGTCGGTGTGTCCGTCCGTCTGTCTACACACACACACTTGCGCGATCCTTATTTTCTGAATCACTGGAGAGTAAGATCACAGTTCCGAAATACTTCAGTGCGTGTTTCCAAAGAAGGAGGATATTCTCTTACGTAACAAGTACATTTACCAACCTCGGTAAATTCTGTTGATTCAGTGCTTTTATCTCACCTGCCATCTGTAGTCCACTCCTGTCAGCTGCCCCAGAGTGTCCCACAGTCACTCCCTCTCTTCTGTGATCCGTGTGGTATGTCTTTCCCGGCTGCAGTCACCTCTTCCAGGAATGATGGAGGCAGAGTCACAGGTCACGCAGGCCTTTACCCTGAGCCCCACACACAGCCGGCTGAGGACATAGTGCCGGGATTGCCGCTGTGTGGGACTGAAAATGGGGAGGATTTTTTGGTGGGAGGGGGAGGGCCCTTAGGGTATATCTCTTACTATGTTTGTTTTTTAAGATTTTTAAAAATTCATTTTTAGAGAGAAACATTAATGTGAGAGAAACGTCGATTGGTTGCCTCCTTCACTCCCCATATGGGGGATTGAGCCGCAGCCAAGGCATCTGTCCTGACTGGGAATCAAACCAGCAAACTTTTGGTACATGGGATGATACCCAACTGAGCCACAGCGACCAGGGCTGTTACTGTGTTTTAAAGTTACTTGAGCCCTGACCGGTGTGGCTCAGTTGGAATGTCACCTTGTACACTGAAAAGTTGTAAGTTCAGTTCCTAGTCAGGGCACATACCTAGGTTTGCAGGTTCAATCCCCAGTTGGTACGTGTACGGAAAGGAAACTGATGTTTCTTTCTCACATCAATGTTTCTTTCTCTCTCTCTCTCTCCCTCTCCCCCTCTCCCTTCCCCCCCCCCTTTCTCCTCTCTCTAAATTCAATAAGCGCCCGCCTGGGCATGGCTCAGCAGTTGAGCATCGACCTAGGATCCAGGAGATTGGGGTTCGATTCCCAGTCAGGGCACATGCCCAGGTTGAGGGCTAGGCAGCCGATCAATGAATCTCATTATTGATGTTTCTATCTCTCTCTCTCCCCCTCCTTTCCTCTTTGAAGTCAATAAAGATATGTTTAATAAATAAATAAATTCAATAAGCATGTCCTTGGGTGAGAATTTAAAAATAATAATAAATTAAAATTACAAAGAAAAGTAAAGTTACTTGGGAGGTCCTCTCTATATGGTGATGCCACCAACCTGTTCCAGTCTATGCTCACTTGTCATCTTTTGTTTTGAGTGTTGAGGGGATGGCTTTATGTGTTCAGGGCACGAGTTCCAGGTAACAGTGTGCACACAACTGCAGCTTACCCTGAGGTGCCACAAAACCAAGATGGACTGGGGGTGGCTGGCGGGATGATGGGGCGCAGTCAGCATTAGTGGCTGAGCGAGGTACTGGTATACAGTGTTCTCTGTAAAATTCTGGTGACTTTGCTATATGTTTGGGGGGAAATTGCACATTTCTGAAGCCAGACCTACAAACAAGGTACCCTCCTCCTGTCTCCTCTCTTCCCCTGCAGGTTGTGCCACCTGCGCATCTCTAGTCTAGGCCTCTGAAGTCTGACTTTTTAATATAAGCAGGCACACACAAGTACTCACGCTGTCCCCTGCCTTCGTGTCTGCGGGCCTGCTCTGCGCGGCACACCTCTGTCTCCAGGCTGTGTTGTAGAGAGCACGCCAGGACCAGGGTGTGAAACTGCAGCACATGGCCACTGGCTGGCCTGCAGGTCTGTGCTGTGGCACAAGTGCCAGTATCCCCCCGGCTGCATTTGCACTGATTTTGAGTGTAGTCTCCCCCCCTCCCCTTGGCATTTGCAGTATTTACTGAGAGCTGTAGATGAAGTTCTTGACCGTGCCTTTGTGTGGTTCACTTAAAAGGAGACACTAGGTGGCAGCAGAGACCCCACCAGACAGAGCCTGGTATCCCGCCCTTGGCCCTGCATGTGCTTGGATAAGGAGGCTCCCAGGGAGGCACGAGGTGCTCCAGTTCAGTGTTAGGGAGACTTGTTCATGAAGAGTTCCAGAGTTCTTTTACGAGTATAGTTGAGCAAAAAACGGGAACAGAAACCTCTGGCACCCAGACTACGAGCAGTGTTATCAGAGGCCCCAGTTTGGGGGTCCTGGAGGTTGGACCAGGTGGCCACTGAAAATCTCTAGCTCATTAGAAGTTGAAGCTCGTGCTGCCACGTCATGAAACGAGATCCGCAGGGTTTTCCTAAGTGTGTGATCTGACCTCTGCCGGGAAGGTATTAACGATCTCCAGGTGGGTGATACCAGCAACAAGCAGTTCTGTGGTTTGTCAGAATGTGACTGACTTACAGATCCAGTGAGGGACTTCGGTGTGGGCTTCCCTTCACTGTCCCGGTTCTGTGGTTTGGGCTTGTGCTCGGCACCACACTTGTTACTGACGACCCACAACCTGCATTTCAGTGCGGATTAAAGGTTGCCCAAACATCACCCTCTCCAGGTCAATGGCCAGTTAGGCTGTATGTGAGCCAGCCGGAGCCTGAGCCCACCTACTGCTCCGAGCTGAGCGCTCTGCCCACTGGCCAGCAGTTTACCGATTCTAGGCAGCGTCTTTGCTGAGGGCGTGCAGGTCTGTCGCTGTCTCACTTGGGACCTTGTCTTGGAAGCTTAGTGCTGTCTCTGCAGGTGCTGCACAGGTTTTCCTGAGGTGTATTCTGAGAACAAATGTTACCTTACAGCTCTCATCCTGTCTGATCTTGCCACACCTGTTTAGAGTGAAACTTTATCCAAGGGCACTTTGAAACTAACAACTTTTCCCAAGAAAGAACCTTAAGAAACCGTGTACAGAGCCCTCCTTAGTCCCCCAGCCCCCATGTGCTGCTTGCGGGGCTGTGGTGTCCACAGCCTGCACATCATGTCTCCCTGTTCCGGGCCTTGACTGAAGCACGACACAGCCTGAGAAGGGGTGAGCCCGGAACAGGTTGGCCTGGTGGCCTTGAGCTCTCGCTGCTGTTGGCACTCTCCTTGGGCCGGGGGAGCCCAGTGCTCCTTGTGACTGGAGTCAGAAGTGGCGCTGTGGGCGGTATGCTTTTCTGCGCCCACTTCTCTAAATCGGTCTCTCCCTTTGATGCCGCCAGATTGGGACACAGAACAGCTTGGAGCTTCTTGAAGACCCAAAAGCTGAGGTGGTGGATGAAATCGCTGCCAAACTTGGCCTGAGGAAGGTACTGGCCTTGGGCCCGGGCTGGGGGGCATCGTCTGGGACTGAGCTCAGCTGCTTGTGGCCAGGTGCAGGTCATGGTTCTACAGCCTCACTTGTGTTTATTGGGTGCCGATGGCTTTGTGTTTCTCTGATTTAGAGTAAAATGAGAACATTTCCCTGAGCGTGAAACAAACGATCCCAGCGCAGGGCTGTTACAATTAAATCTGCCAGCCACACTTCCTGCTCAGGGGGGAAGCAGCGGAGCCAGACCCTGTCCTGCCAGCCTGTACCCCTGACCTCCCCGCTGCGCACACCCTCGGGTGTGAGCTCTCCTTCGTGCTCCTTGGCTGCCTCGAGCCGAGGCCCGTCCACAGTGCTCACGTATGCTCGTGGCTGGAGCAGGTGTTTCCTCTGCAGCCTCACTGAATTCCTGCTTATAGCGTAAGCGTCAGAGCACATGTGCCTCCCAATTTCCCCGGCCCTCGGAGGACGGGGCAGAGCCTCTTTGTTGAGTCTGTGGGTCTAGTTTATCTCATCACGTCCTTGGTAGAGCTTCCCGGAGCTTTAAAGATGGGTTTCTACAGATACATGTTAGGCTGGGAGTCTGAACATGTCTTAGAAAGCTCACTCCTAGTAGCCATGCAGGTTTATCCTTTGCTTCCCAGTCAGTTTAGGCAGTGAAAGTCAGTTCCTCCAGCACGCAACGGGGAGAAACTGGGAATTTGCTTTCTAACTTGGGAGCGTTAGTGTGAAGTCACTTCACTGATGTGAGGGAAAATGTCCCGTTGTTTCCAGTGGGTCAGCATCTCCATTTAGGGCCCTATTCCTGTTTCAGTTCTGGAAGTTTCTCTTGGCGCAGTGTTCTGACCTGTGTCTGTCGTAAGCACATACAGTTCGTGATTATCATGATTATGACAGGATTTGAAGTTACCTAAATGCCTTTTTCCTAAACACTGCTTCCATATCCTGCTCACCTCAGGCTGAGGTTGGGCCTACTCTGCTTACTGCTTACCGCTTACCAGCACTTGTCCTTAAGCCTCACTTTCTCCATTGCCGTCCTCCTCGTGTTTTCCATTCATTTGGGCATTTTTAAAGGAAAACAAAAGTCTCGATTTGCCTGGTCACGTGTGCAGGGATGGCTTTGAGGAGTTCTGTGTCAGAGCTGTGCGGGTGAGTGTCCTGGGTGCCAAATCCCTTCTCCAGGAACATAAGTGGGTGTATGCTGGATCCCAGCCTGCTCGTAGGCCTCCCAGCCAGGGTCTGCTTCAGGACGGCTGGAGGCGTGGGCATGGGAGGGCCAGGGGTCAGGGAGCATGTAGACAGATGCCATCACTGCAGCAGGACACACTGTGGAGGCCGCCCCTGTCCCGAGCTTGGAGACTGGCCTGAGGGAGCCCTGGCACTGGGAGTTTTGCCCTCAGGTGCCCTGTACCCTCAGGTGCTTCCTTCAGCCTGCAGTGGGGCTCCGAGGAGCAGCTGGGCACATTCCCATGGTGGTCCTCCTCCTCCTGTCCTAGCTGCTCCAGGGAGTCTGTTCTTACCCAGCACCTGAGATATGGCACCTTTATGTGCTTCCTCTTGGCAGTGCAGGCTCTGTTCTCATTGACAGTTTTCATTTTGTTGACTGTGGGGTTCCCAACACTTGGCACAGTGCTGGGCATGGACTTGGGTGATGGACCAGTGAGTTCTGCTCCTTTTGACCTGGCAGCACCAGGAGGGTGGCCTCCTTGCACTGAGCCGAGTTTGGAAGCCTGGTGTGGCCTGGCTGCTCGGGAGGCTCACCGAGATGTTTGTAAGCCCTCTGTGCAGAGGCCAAAAAGCATCACCTACTCAGGGAGAGACTCAGAAGGCACTTTCCTTTGTTATGCAGGTCGGCTGGATATTTACAGACCTCGTTTCAGAAGACACTCGAAAGGGTACAGTCCGATACAGTCGGAATAAGGTGAGGGGGCGGCACACTCGCTGACCTGCAGCTGGGTTACACACAGTGTCAATAAATTAAGCTGGTCTGTTGATTCTTTCTCGTGGAGCAAGCCCACCTGACCTTTACAGGCGTAGTGCTTCTGCCTTACTAGTTACACGTGGTTTTACATGAGGGTTCCTCATGGTCAGGCACTGTGGGCATTGGTTCACCCTAGTTTCTGACGTGTGGTAGTTTAGTTCTTGATGTTCCCTAGAGGAGTGTGGAAGCATGTTCTGACCCAGCTCTCTCCTCAGGACACCTACTTCCTGAGTGCGGAAGAGTGCATCACGGCAGGGGACTTCCAGAACAAGCACCCCAACATGTGCCGGCTCTCCCCCGATGGGCACTTTGGCTCCAAGTTCGTGACTGCAGTGGCCACAGGTACACCAAAGACCATACATCGTGAATGACACTAGTTGTCCATGTTTTGTTCCTCATTCGGTAGCTTTTCATATTTAACTTAGTTACGGCGGATTTTCTTTTCATTTTTATTTTTTTTTAATATGTCTTTATTGATTTCAGAGAGAGGAAGGGAGAGGGAGAGAGATAGAAACATCAGTGATGAGAGTCATTGGTCCGCTGCCCCCTGCACACCCCCTACTGGGGGTCGAAGAGCCCACAACCTGGGCATGTGCCCTCACCAGGAATCGAACTGCAACCTCCTGGATCCCTAGGTTGGTGCTCAACCACTGAGCCACGCCAGCCAGGATACACTAGATTTTCTTAATGGGCCTGTGAGACATCGAGTCGTCTTTTTGGTTTGTGGTAAAAATCCTGAACGTATTAGCTGCTCTGGTGGTGCCCACAGCTCTGGAGTATGGCGGCCATGCAGGTCTCTCCAAGGTAGAGACTGGTGTACCTGTGATGCAAGCGCTGTCATAATTTCACTGAAAATGGCTTCTGTCCTGCTCTTCTCCCTTCCACTGCGTACCTCTCCTGCCTCCAGATGGACCCACCCCTGTCCACTGGAACGAAAGCTCACTGACTCACCGGGCTCTGTCTATTGTTAAAAACCAATGGCCAGTATTTGACTCAGCCAAGTTTGGGCAGATGCTGGAGAATGTTTACTAGTCCAGTTTGCCGATTCTGAGAGTGTGCCCTTGGTGGAGCCTCTTTGAGGTGCCACTGTGGTGTCTCCATGCCCTGCATTCAAGGCCCCATGCTCAAGCCCCTTGTAAAGTTGCTATGGAATGTTTTTGAGTTCTTGGGTACAAACAAGCCCTATCAGTTTGTCTGCTCTGTTGGTCTGAAGTGAGGAGGAGCAGATACGGTCTTGTTCTGAACGTCCTTAAGTGGATGCTCACAGAAGGTCTCTCTCTTGTAGGTGGTCCCGACAACCAGGTCCACTTTGAAGGGTACCAAGTGTCCAATCAGTGCATGGCGCTGGTCCGGGATGAGTGCCTGCTGCCCTGCAAGGACGCCCCCGAGCTCGGCTATGTCAAGGAGTCCAGCAGTGAGCAGTACGTGCCTGATGTGTTTTATAAGGTAAAAACACCACAGTGCGGGGGCTTCGCGTGGACGGAGGACATGTGGACACGGGCCTGCTGTGCTGCGACTGGTTCTGGTGCTTTCTGGCCACATGGGCCGTTGGTCAGCGTGGTGGCTCAGTGTCAGCTGTTGATGAGGTGTTTCATAGCATTTCCGGGCCTGTCAGGCCTGTGACCGGAGTAGACCTAACCTCGCCACGTCTGGGGTATAGAACACCAGGTCAAACCATGCAACACAGACAATCTCGATTTCTAAAAATGGGGATGTGTGTAAGGGCCTCGCAGGAGTGAAGGATAGAGCTGTGTGGTCAGTGCCGAGGCCGCCTGAAGGTCCCGTGCTCTCAGCTGACACTTCAGACATATAAGTGTCCCTCCAAAGTCTCTTTCTTATGAAAGCTGTGAAACTGTTTTTATTGAGAAGGGGTGTCCGGGTTGGACATGCAGGCCAGAGACACAGTCTCATCCTCAGCTTGGGACTCGTCCCTGGTCATGATTGAGGCACCTGCGTGGTCCCCACTCCGGGTGACTTGGAGTCCACCTGGGACTGCCTGCACCTGCAGGATGTCATCTTTCTTATAGTGTGGGGTGGCTTTTATATCTGCAGAGTTTCACTGTGTGAAGACTGTAGGTTGAAGGTTTGCTCCATAGTCACCTGACTCGCAGTGTTTCCCCGGGCGGTCGCTGTCACCCTCGTGTGCACAATGCGACTCTTCCCTCTGCTGACCCTTCCTCCCATAGCATGGATTTTAGCAATTTGTTCATGATGTGCCGGTGCCCTGGCACGTGTGTCCTGTGTTTGGGGTTTGTTGAGCTTGGGTCTGTGGGTTGACGGTGGTGTTTTTGTTCATTTTCTGTGTTCATTTTCTGTTGCTGCCCTAACGTGGCTGCAAACTGGGTGGTTGTAGCACAACACCTGGGTCTCACCTGACAGCTGCATACTCTGGAGTCTGGGCAGAGCCCGGCTGTATTCTCTGCCCCTGGTCTAGGCCGCAGTCGAGTGTAGGTCTCGACTGTTTCATCTGAGGTGGGAGGTGGTAGCCGCACTGAGCTTCCTGGCACCCAGCCCTCTGGAGCGTCTGTTTCTAATGCCAGCGCAGCCTTGAAAGGGCTCCTGTCATTTGACTGGGCACCCAGAGGACTCCGGGTCATCTCCCAATATTGAGGTCAGCTGGTTAGTACCTTCGATATACTGCACAGCCCCTTGTCTGAGGGTTGTTCCCAGGTGCGTGGTAGTTTCTACATGTTTTAAGTAGCACCTTTTAAAAGCATGTTTTTAAACTTGCTGTTTGAAACTAGTACTTTTTTGTATTGAGCAATGTTATTGTTACTCTCCCTCTAATTTACACGCGGGTTGTTTCGGGCTTCCCACACACACAGCATATTCTGTCTCCCTGTCCATGTTGGCTCGGTGTGCTGGCCAGGGCTTCCAAACAGCATCCAGCGTCCACACTCTGTTCCTGGTTTAACTGTGAAGGNAACAGCATCCAGCATCCAAACAGCATCCAGCGTCCACACTCTGTTCCTGGTTTAACTGTGAAGGAAGCGCTTTCGGGATTTCATCATGAACTATAAACTTGCTGTAGGTTTTGTTTTGTTTTGTTTTTGTACTATCCTTTCCCAGGTCGGAAATCTGCTTTATTTCCATGTCTTGTGTGTTTCTTACACATGGCTGTGGAACCTGTGTTACTTCCTTGGTCAGGCTGCTATTTTCCATCAGTTGTTACCTGCCCGTTAGTGGGAGTAGCTGGAGTGTGGTTTGTAGCCTGGAGGACTGGAGACTGAGGAAGCAGACATGGACGTAACCCTTCTGTCCTGTGGGCCTCGGGCAGGGTTAACCGTGCTGGGGAGCAGGATATGCTGCAGGGTTTTGTAAGGAAGGAACGGCTGTGAGACCTTTCCTTCTTTGTCCTGTGAAGTTGCAGATGAGCTGCTCACGTCACTTGTTACCTTCTTGTCAGTTCTTAAAGAGAAAAGCAGTATAGTCAGGATTTCATTGGCCTTCTCCAGAGCAGGGTGGTGCCACCAACCAGTAGTGTTTGCTGCTGCCTGGCGCCAGGCCCGTGTACCTTCCATTCCCACAGATGGAGGCCTGGACTCCTCTGCTGTTTCGGTGCTGGCGCCGCTGTTTCCAGACGTGGCACGTGGCAGGTAGTGAGTCAGGGGGGACCTCAATTTCTGACTCCCCCGGCATCTTGCTCAAGGTGGAGATAAAACTGCTGACACTTTGGCAGCTGCCAAACTTAGAATTAAGACGTTTTCCCTCAGCGACTGCACCAGCACTTGCTGACTCAAGTGAAAGTAGTGCACAGGGCTCGGGACCGGCTGGCAAACCACTCACTACAGGGAAGGCGGGGTGGGGAGGGGATAACCTCTGTTCCCCAGGGAAGAGAGGGGGATGCAGCACCTTTATCTTCTTGGGGAGCAGAGAGGCACAGTGGGCTAGTTAAATGTGAAAGCGAATAGCACGGCACAGGGAGAGGAGAGAAGGGCATTTAACAGGAAACCTCTCTGGAGGGAGACGCAAGCGAGCAGGTGCTGGGACATGTTCTGCATATTAGAGCTTAATTAGATCTGAAGGTGAGTTCCAGACGGGCTCGTTACGTGTGAGTTGTTGCAGGTTATTTCTTGTGGGGGCAAGCGTGTATTTTCGGAAATGGTGATTTAGTTTGATTGGATTTGATTCTTGCCTCCTGCCTCCTGCCATGTCTCCTCCATTGAGAAACATCCGCTTCTGGGGCCCCAGGACCCCCTCAGCAGGCTCCCGTCCTGGGCTGCCACTGTCGAGGCTGGTCAGCCAAGGAAACCTGGGCCCAGCCTGACCCCCGCAGAAACCAGCACAGGGCAGCCATCTCCTGGAGGTTCGGATGAGTCCTTCCCAGGTGGACCGGCGAGCCATTCAGCCCCACAGGACGCAGACAGCCAGACAGAGCTGTGCATTGTTGCAGGAAGATGTCCTTTGATGGCTTGCGATGCTCCCACGTACACAGATAAGTTTAGATGGGCTTAGCCCACTTTCTGGGAGCTCAGAGGGACAGGTTCTTGTTGGCAGGTCTGTAGTTGTGAAGAGAAGGTGAGGAAGGTGTGGATAAACTTGAGATGTGTTACAGCGAGAAGTTTCCATTTTTAAGCACAAGGAGCAAGGCCAGGTGGGGGCAGTGGGCTTGGTCTGAGTTAGGGGTGGCTCTGTGTCCCAGGAAGGTATGGAGGTGCCGGGGCAGCCATGCACCACCCTCACGCCACAGGGCGATCTGCTCGGCATCCGCGCAGGTCCGAGAGCTCTAATAGATGTAAACTTTGTGTAAGACCCGTAATTGGAAATTACAGACGCATAATTTATATATTACTCCATGGGTGATTTATATAATGTTAAGTGATGATTTAGCTAGAAAATGTAACCCCTCCTGCAGAATCTTTAATGAAAAGCATCAGCTCTCATGAATTTATTTCTAGAGCTCTGTTTGAACACAGCATGTTTGACATAAATCAGGTTTAATTGTCACTTTATGATTAATGAACATATGCTGGCCGTTTTTACCCATAATTAAACTTTATGTTCTGTGCATCTGACAAAGCAAAACAAGTGTCGACGTTGACAGATTGGTGGAGGGGTTTCCGTGTCTGTATTTGTGACTGTGGGCTCGTTTGTGTGCGCATTTTTTAGTAATGTACAAGTATTGAGTTCCATACAGCCGGGGTTTCAGAGGTGTAAGATCGTTAAGGATTAGCATTCAGGCCTGAGACCAAGAGCTTGTAGAGGAGGAGAGGGCACAGGTGTAGCCCCGGGCTGCCGGGGCCCTGACTCCCTGTGGAGACTCCCCTCAGCTGAGAGCTCTGCTGTTTCCCATGTGAGGCATCATAAAGAGCTCCAGGAAGTGATGGAAGGTGGGGTCTTGCAAAAAAGGGCACATTTTCCTTCCCGCTGTCCTGCACCTCAGCAAGAATTGTCAATGTAAAAGGTGAGAGGCACACGTGAAAGGAGGAACGTCACTGGTCAGCAAACCTCCACTCACCTTTGCTTTCCATTGCAGGACATAGACAAGTTTGGCAATGAGATCACCCAGCTGGCCCGCCCTCTGCCCGTGGAGTATCTCATCATAGATGTAAGTGGGTGTTGTCCCCGCCTGGGCTCACGGCACGGTGGAGGTGGCACTGCCGGGTGGTGGACAGTTGCCCTATGTCAGCAAAGGACAGGCACCCAAGTGTCAGAATGGTCAGTCTCCTTGTATCCCGGAAATGCTCACAGTTTTAGGGGCTTTTTCTTTTAGTTTTTTCGCCTTAAAAACAACTTAGGTGTTAACTTCTCCCAAACTAAAGTGCCACCAAGGACCACAACTGGTTCACCCGTGGCGTGTACAGGTGCTGCCCTGGCCATAGCTGGTGCCACAGCTGGGCTCATGGTGACCCTCTGCTGGGTCAGTCCTCAAGGGACACAGCCGTCACTATACGTGAGGGGCAGTGTCGTTTCCTGGGTAGAACCCCAGGAGCCCAAAAAGCACCTGGCTCCAGGGCATCTTCTCAGCTCCTCTCTGGCTGCAGACCAAGGCAGTGATGCTACAGGACGAGAGCCCGATGGTTTGCAGCAATCAGCGCTCCGTCCAGGGGGCGGGAGCTGCTTGCGCCCTGCCTGCCGCCTGCCAGGACCTGTTTGGGTTGCACTGAACTCAGGACGAGCACGTGACACAGGCTGTAAAATGGCTTTGCATTTGGAGCAGCGGGTTCCCAGGAGCCAAGCCGTCGATGCTCCATCCAATTGACAGTTCCCGAGAACATATTGATTACCTAGGCTGTAAAGGCATCTGTTTCTAGACTACCTGGAGTGTAATTAAGATGCAGACAGATGGGTGGAACACACACTTAGGAGGAGTCTTGTGATTTAAAGCCAGCTTTCTAAGGCTGCTCTCCCAGGCCTCCCACCCCTTCCCGTTTATGAAGGAGCCTCGTTCCTGCCCTCGTGCATTGTTGTGGTTGTATTTGGTTGACAAGGGAACACTGTTGCTGTGATTCCCCAGCCGCCTGTTTCTGTGGAAAGAGTTGGAGCAGCCCCTAGCAGCAGGGCCCAGACAGGTGTGCTCAGCTCCTCACCCTGCCCCAGGCCCACGGCCTCACAGCCTCATAGCCTCACAGCCTGACCAGGGCCATCTGTTATCCTCAAACTTTGTGACCGGGCAGCTGTTTTAGGCAGCATGAGCTATGTTCCCGGGCTCCTGTGGAGGTTTTCTGGAGGTACCAGGGCATCGGCTAGTCGACCCAGAGACAGGCTGGGTAGGGAGATGTTTCAAGCACAGGATGAGGTGCTTGATGGCCTGTGTCCCCTCCCCTGGGCGCCCCAGGTTGGTGCTGAGCTCTCCAGGGACAACTGCAAGTCTGACGAGCACTTCTCCTAGTTCCACATTTGCTCACTAGCAGGTGTTCTGTTGTGCTGGTCCCCTGCCGGACCTGCCTTCTCAGTGGGAGGGACTGAGTTGCCCACAGGCTTTGTCTCAGCAGCACGGACAGCCCTGCCATTTTCTAGAACCGTGACAGTGGCTGAGACTGAGACCTGTGCATGTGACCATTCTGAGGGCTTTACGTGTCTGAGCATTTAATCCTCAGAGCAGCCTTAGGAGGTGCAGGCACCCGGGTCATCCTTATCTGGCCAACGAGCAGAGGCCTAAGCTCCATGGCCGACAGGCCACACTGGGATGTGGCCCTGTCGCTCAGGTCCACACCTTCTGCCATGAGGCCTGCATGGTCTGGTCAGTCAGGCACAGTCCCAGCCAGTCACCACCTTCACTGATGTGGAACACAGAGCAGAACAAAAGCTTCACCTTTTAGAAAAGCCCCAGAGGATCCGAGGCGCTGCCATGAGTCTAGCCCGTAGGCTGCTGGGGCTCTCACACCCAGCAATGGGAACAGCCAGCTCCCAAGATGCCTGCTCGTGTATCTGTGCTGCGCCCAAGGCTCATCCTGGAGCTCGTCCAGGGCTGGAGGGGGCAGCTGTGTGGGAGGCGTGCCACACAGAAGCTGTCCTCAGGCTGGCCCTGGGTGTGAGCTCTGTGTCACAGAGACCGCAGGCAATGGCCGCCACATGGGGTGCGATCTTGGAAATTATTAGAAGTGATTCTGTTTGTTTCCAGAGTCAGTTTCAGAATTTCTTTTGGGGTGGGCCGTGGTTCACCTGTCCCTCGTTGGGATAGTCAGGGCCCCTGGCTGTTGGGAGTGATTTGGGGCTCGGGCTGCTGCCCTTGAAGGTCACCCACCCCTTGTTCATGGCACAGCTGGATTGACATGGTTTCTCTTTTTGTCCTTAGATCACAACCACTTTCCCCAAGGATCCAGTTTATACTTTTTCTATTTCGCAAAATCCATTTCCTATTGAAAACCGGGATGTATTGGGGGAGACACAGGTAAGCTCTCTGTCTTTAGAAACATAATTTAAGGTACCTGCTGCTGGTTTGTCTCGGGCCAATACTGCTTTTTCCAAGTGCCCAGCTTTTAGACTGTGCCAATTCGCTCTGACAAAGCCCAGCAGGGCCTCTTTCTACGACACTGTTAGTCACTGTAACCCCCTCTCCTGGCCAGGTGACTGATGGCCACCAGGGCAAGTCCTGCCAGTCCTCAGACAGATTTGCCAGGAGGACCATTAACATCTTTTCCCCCCTAAATTTGTCACTTCTGCCATTTTCCTACAACAATTCATTGCTCATTTGTTGATGCCGACATCTCTTTGTGGAGGCATCTCGCTCTGCCGTTTGCTCTGGCCCCGCCTTTCACCTGTTGCGTTTCTCAGGCACCATGCAAGCATGTGACCTACTGCTGTGTCTGCCTGTGTGCTGTGGTGCCAGTGAGCACACAGGTGTCACAGAGAGTGGCTCGATGAGAGTGTGTCTACAGTGAGAGCTGCTTCTGGAGCAGTGGCATGTTTAGAGACCTCTAAAACTGTCTCCTCACTGCCATCCGCCTGGGGACGTGCGGGGGCCTTGCAGAGGAGCAGAGCCACTTATTAGGGTGGTTCCCTTGAGTCTCCTGTTGTTAGTCCTGCTGAAGGCGTTCGTGGTACACAAGTGTGCCCGCTACCTGCCCCCCAGCCCTCCTGCTCCACAGTGTCTGCTGCCCAAGCCAACAACATGACAAGACGGAAGGTGCCCGGGTCTCCTGCCCTCTCCACTGGGAGCAAGGGCGGGTCCCGTGCACGTGTCTCACAGCCAGGCACTCTGATGTCCTGAGTGTTTATTCCTGTTCTGGGTTCCCGTCAGGGGGTATAGAAGAGAGAGAGGGCCATCTGTCAGCCCTGAATGCCCTCAGTTACGTCTCAGGAGGAAGGTTCTCCTCTGGGAGCTGGGACAGAGCCACTTCTACTCCTCCTGTCTCATTCTCTAGGACTTCCACAGTCTTGCCACCTACTTGTCGCAGAATACCTCCTCCATGTTCCTGGACACCATCTCGGATTTCCACCTCCTGCTCTTTCTGGTCACCAACGAAGTCATGCCTCTGCAGGTATGGACTGAGCGTGTGTGCCTGCTGCACGCCTGGCGCTGGTGGTCCCAGGTGGGGCTGGGTACAGGGGCTTCCTCTTCCTCCAGAATCAGAGAGGTGGTCTCAGCCCCCCTTATGTCCTGTGGGCAGCAGCTTTGCACAAGGGACTTCTTGATCCAGAGGTGAATTTTTTCATTTAGCGTTTGCCTAGAGACAGTGTTTAAGTGTCAACTTTCTGTAAGGGGCTGGTCTCCTTGTATGTTCTAACCACAAGGATGCAGTGGTGGTGAGCTGATCCCAGTGTGGGGCCGTAGAGATCCCACAGGAGTACTGTCCTGACAGCCTCAGAACCACACCCTGCTTCTTCCCTGTCTCCCCTCCTCCCAACCCACTGCTATCGCCTGGGCCAGATGGTTGGCCGGTGTCCAGACCCCGCACACAGCTGCACAGTTGGCGTCTGTAAGACTCTGAGGGGAGGAGAGGGCAAGTGTACAGATGGCAGTTGCTATCTGAGCAGTGCGGCAGTCGGCAGCCTGGCAGTGTGTCCAGCCAGGGAGCCCGAGGCGTGTGCCGTGGCGTAGGTGGCCCTTCTCTCTGCTTGAGACCCAAGGAAACACCAGAGAGAGAGAGAGGAACAGTTTCTTACTGAGCTGCTGACACCAGTGTTGTACGTCCCCCCAGCGTAACAGAGTAGAATAGAGAGCTGACCCCCCCCATGCTTTTCTCTTTCAGCTGGCCTGTGGCTACTCTTGTATTTTGCCACCTTTGTCTTGTGCCTGTATTTTGTCCAAAATGACCCTCTTCTGCCATTTCATACCAGGCACCCTGAGATGTCCCACCTGCTGTGCTTTCCCTATAAAGCTCAGAGATTTGCAGCTCGGCCCCAGGTTCAGCTGCCGCTTGTCCGGTGGGACAAGTGGTGCAAGCCCCTCCCCCCCGCCCCCCAGGGCTCCTCACTGGGCAGCGGGTACTGATCTGCGGTCCCTGTCAAACATCACTTTCTATAGCTATTGTCTGAGGCCCCCGAAAGCTTACAGGTGTTGTACCTAAACTATTTTAACTCTCTGCCTTGTGACCCCGGAGGCCTGGGCTATAGCATATGTATTTGAGGACACGACTGAGAAGATGAAGAACCTGAGGGGAGAGTGAGGGGGGGTGGACACAGGACAGAGGCTCCTGTCTCTCCACCTGAGCCCAGAAAAGGGATGGAGCCTATTACCTGGGTGATGACAGATGGCACAGCAGGGCCGTTTGGGAGGAGTTTAAGGTCTAGCTTCATTTGGCACTCGTACATCTAGACTGAAGTGTGGGGCACTTTGCATTTCATGGTGACAGCCTGTGAGGTTCCCACATCCCCCTGAAGTGTGTTGAGATGCTGGGGAAGCAGCAGCCTACCAGCAGGAGTCTGTCCACTGTGGGCCAGGCTATGGGACCTTCTTTTCTGGCTTCTTGCAGGACAGCATCAGCCTGCTCCTGGAGGCCGTGAGGACCAGAAACGAGGAGCTCGCCCAGACGTGGAAGAAGTCTGAGCAGTGGGCCACCATCGAGCAGCTCTGCAGTAAGTGGCCTCCCAGAGCCCAGGGGCCCCACACCTGCTCCGCAAAGCTCTCAAACTCCTTATGCCCCAGAAGCCTGACCCAGACACGTCTGACAGGTGTCATGAGCAGTCAGCGGACGCAGGTGCCCTCTGCCAGGGCACATGGGCGTTCAGGGCTGTGACGTACATGCTCTGGGGGCTGCACATCTTTGGTGCACAGCTCTGGGAGTGTACATGTCTGCAGTGGGCATGCTAATCTTCCGGCATCTTAGGAGCAATTGGAAAGTGGTTGTAGAGAAGCTGGAACTAGGTTCACTCAAGTGCTGAGAGTACAGAGCCTTTGCTCTCCTCCAGCTTTTCCGTTTTCCCACCAGTCCTCAGAGCTTCCATGATTGACGAGGGAGGAGAGGTACAGACCATATTGTGGGGCCTCATGTCCCGGAGCTGCATGACCGTGCTGCCTAGTGAGAGCTGTGTCTGCCACCTTGGGCAGGCGCTCCTGGCACAGCCTTTTCCCTGTGGGTGAGAGGTGCTGGAGTTCCCTCTGAGACAGCCTTGAAAGTACACATTAGAAAGTGTGTATGCCATGTTCTCAATCTAGTGGGCAGACACTAGAGACAAAATTAGCCAAGAACTTCCATGAAATCAAAGCTGAGGGGAGCCCGTGGGAGCTGCTGTTCTTTTCATACTAACACACCTAGAAGCTCTGGGTCCTGAGAGCTGGGTCTTCCCTGTGTTGTGCTTTTCTGTACAGTTCTGACACCAGACCAGCAATACGCCAGCTGCATGTGCCTGGTATTCTTGCCCCCCATCCCGAGACACTGCTCAGGTGTTCTAGAGACAAGACAAGGCATCCCACCAGACTCCCCATAAAGCCCTACAGCCGCGTGTTTGTGGGTAGATGGTGGTGCAGTGCTGGCCAGCAGCACTCAGCACGTGGTGTCCCACTCCCCCACATGTGGCTGTCTGGGCTGCACACAGGGAAGCAGAGGTGCAGAGGGGCATCCTGGGGCCCTGGAGGGGAGGGCAGGTGGGCTAGGGGTTATCCTGGAGGTGCAGTGGCCATGTTGGGGGTGAGGAAAGCTAGGTCCGAGAAGGTTTGTCTGAGCACTGAGCCTACAGCTGGTGACCCTTGGGAGCAGGGCCTGCTGGCTCTCCAGTGCTTAGCTGGGAAGAGCCATAGCAACCAGGCAGCATAGCCTCTGCCGGGAGCTCCTGGCACTCATGTGCTCACATCCAAGAGTCCGCTCTGGGTTGTCCAGATCCTGCCGACAGGGTCTCCTCGAGGGGCTTGCCATACTGTGCACCTGGAATTTCCTGGTGTGCGTGTGGTGGAGGCCATGTAAGAGCTCTCTCTGAAAGCAGACACTTTGTGGAAGAACTAAGTATAAGTAAATGCAAAGAAGTACCATGTTTCTGGGTATTTTTAACATCAGTTTTACCAAAATCGATCAGTACAATCCCAATCAAAATCCCTATAGACACTTTCTTTTTTGAGTCGGGGGGAGGGGGATAAATTATGAGATGTATCTGGGCTGCGGAGGGCAGAGAAAGGTGGAGGCTGTGCACCACCCGGTCTCAGCGGGGACACTGTGGTGGCTACAGGGGCGTGGTGTCAGCATGACAGTAAATAGACTGTGACCAGCTGGAGCTGAGGGCCGGCTGATGACAAGGGTGCCTGAGCAGTTCAGTGAGGAAAGGAAGCCTTTTCAGGGAGGGCAGTGAGCCCCCCGGGGCCTGTGCAGAAAACAGCCTCCACAGGCACACCAGCTACCAAAGTCAGCTCAACACGGGTCATGGCCTCATGGTAGAAGCTAAGACCAGAGGCCCTTGGGTAGGACAGAGGAAAGGACTGAACGTGGAAAATGGTCAGTTGGACTTTTATCAAAATGAAACCCTTGGGCCCATCAAGAGACTTAGAAACGTGAAAAGGCAAGGCCTAGGCTGGGGAAATGTTTAAAGTGCAAAGATGTGACATGAGACTTGCCCCAATACACAATCATGCGCCGCTCTGTGACAGCAACGCTAAAAACGCGCAGTAGGTCTGCTTGCACCAGCGTCACCACACACACGAGGGGCGCTGTCCTATGGTGTGACGCCAGCTACAACACCACAGGTGATAGGAAATTTTCAGCTCTATTGTGACCTATTGGACCACCTCTTAGTCTGTGCGGGTCCAGCGTTGGTGTGCAGCAGGTGACTGTAGAGAGCTTAGCATATTGATAGGAATCCAGACACAGCATGAGTGACAACTGAATCGGGAACCACTGAGTGTCCGTACTGTGTGGGTGGGCAGCCGGGACACTGGGCAGGATCCACTAAGCAGGGGCAGCAGGTAGGGAGCTGGCTTCCAGCTATGCAGACAGAAGCTGTGTTTAGCGGGGTCCCGGGGGTGAGCAGGGACCCACAGTGGGGGTGGGGCCTTATCTGCCCACCCGGAGCAATTGCTTAGAGTCCATTTGACCCCGACAGGCAGTAACTAGAGCTCAGATGGCAGGACGTCTTCCCTGTGCAGGAATGATGGGTGCTGCTTCTCTTCCCACCCTGCAGGCACAGTTGGGGTGCAGCTTCCGGGCCTCCAGGAGTATGGTGCCGTCGGGGGCTCCTCACACGCCGCCACGGCCGCCATGTGGGCCTGTGAGCACTGCACCTTCATGAACCAGCCGGGCACTGGCCACTGCGAGATGTGCAGCCTCCCCAGGACCTAGGGCCTCGGCCCTGCTGGCAGGACTGGGCCCACCCCAGCCCTCTCTGAAGCCAGGGTCACGGAGCCGTGCCCCAGGGTGGCATGGCTGCCCTGGGGGTCTCTGGCCCACGAAGCCTCTCAGCACCAGGCTTCCCTGGAGGTCGGAGCCAGGCTGGTGCTCTGCCGGCTGAAACCAGGCTCCTAGTGGAGGAGCATTGGGCCTGACGCAGACGCCTCTCGGGTACCTACCTCCACGGTGGGGGGCCTGGCGCCTCGACATCTCCACCTGCACAGGAGGGCGGGAGTGCTTGCTGCTGCGCCAGCTTCCTCCTCTCTGGATGCCGTTTGTTCTTGCCCCTCCCTGGTTGTGGTTGGAGCTCTTGTGGCCTCTGTACCCTGTGGCCCTTGGGCAGGCCCTGCCTGGGGGGCACCTCTTCCCCGTCCGGTAGCCGTTGTCTGGTGGAAACGTAAGTGGCCACAGGCTCGCCGGCCTCCCGTCTGCTTGGTCTGCAGGTTCCTTTGCTGCCCACTTTCTCCTGCTCTCACCCAACATCCAGGTGGGATTTTAAAGTTGGCATTGGTTGTAATAACAGTTATCAGTAATTCCTGCCCAGAAGACGTTTATTTATTTTTTTAAAGATAAAAACCGCATAAAAGGGGAGTGAGAGAGACTAGTTTCCACTTCCTTCCCTCTAGTGAGTCCCTGTGGGTGTGCAGGGTGGGTGAGTATGGATGGGGGCCTACACTCAGTCCTCCTTGGAAGTAAACCTCAGTGCCTGAGACTTTCCTGCCAAGCTGCACAGCAGCTGCAGACATGGGCTGTCAGAGCAGGAGTATAGCAGTGGCTCCCGCCAGGCAGGGGCCCCTCCAGATGGCCAAGGCTGCTGACCAGGCCTCCTGGGGCAAACTAGGTTACCCAGGACCAGAAGCTGGTCCCCTTTGACTCCCACACAGTTCTTTCCCGTGGCCCTAGCCTCTGGCACAGTGACATGGCCATTGAGACAGGCCTGGGTGAGGGAGTGGGGCTTGGCTGTTGTGGAGCTACGTGGTTCTGCCGTGGGGACGGGAAGGGTGCTGCTGTGCCGATGGTGTGAGATCCGGGCCATCCCAGGACAGAGGTGGTGGTCAGACCCTACAGGTGTGCCCTGGGGTCCTTACCCATCCTCTGTGGCTGGGCTGTGACCACGCCCTGCCCCGGGAACCCATGGGCATGCTGATGCCTCTTTGCCTTAATAAGAGCCGATCTCTGAGCTGTTCCCCACCCTCAGGAAGGGCCAGCCCAGACAGAGACTGCTTGGGGACCTCACATCTGCCCTGGGGCGGGGGCAGGCCTGTGGGACCTGCCCTTTCCCTCAGTGCAGTGCGGGAGAGCCCTTGGGTGTTGGCTGTGGTGGTAACGGCCCAGTCTGGCACCTCCAGGTCCACCAGCACAGACTTGTCTGCTCTTGGGGAGGCTCAGGTTGGGTCTGGCCAGAGCAGAGAGTGGCTGATCTGGAGGAGCAGGAGGGCCAGAGCGGCCAGTGCAGAGTACAGCTACCTTCGGGGGACTGTCTGGTCGCACTCCTGGCTGGCACACTGGCTGGACTCCAGCCTGTTGTGTGGTTCCTGTGACCAGATGTGAAGCTGCAGCTGGACCCGCGCTTGACCTCACTCCTGAGACCTCACCGCCCCCCGGCTCCCCAACGTGCTCTCGCCTTCATCCACTGCTAGCTTCCTTTCAACCAGCATTCTCCTCTCAAGCTCTGGCATCCACATAATTCATGTTCCCTTGTTTCTTCAGCTAAAGAAAAAGCGTTGTGACTTCTCTGCTTCTGGTTCGAGTTGCTCTTTGTTCAGTAATGCACTTTACCTTGTCCAAAGAGAGTCAGAGCTCAGCGGTGAGGGGGGGGGCACCCTGCTGGTGGGCTCTGGCCTTGACCCAGGTGGCTCAGCCACCTCCTCTTGCACAGGGGAGGGGCCTCCAGCCCCCTGCATCCCACCTGCCCTGGTATGAGCACAACCCTCTTCTGCCAGGCACTGCAGTGGAGAGGGGTGACTGAGTGCACACCTGTTCCAGGGGACACTGTCGGTGGCCTCCGACCAGTCTGCCCCCCTCCATGCTCCATTCCACTCAGGGCCTATGGTGTGCTTGGGGTGGCCTCAGCACTGCCTGGACTTGGCCCTGCAGGGGGCCAATAAACACCTGAAGCCCCAGGCCTCTGCATCTGTCTGCAGGGCCAGTTCATGTGGCCTGTGTCAGGTGTGGACCATTGGAGGGTAGAGAACTCTCCTCCTGCCCAGGCTCCTGGGCTCTGCTTCCAGCCAGCAGTCTGGAAGGGAGAGAGCCTGGCCTCCCTCGGGGCCTTTCCTGCCTGTCTACCATGTGTCACTCCTGGGCCTCTGCCTGCTGGGACAGGTGCACGTGGCCCAGTGGCAGGTGAAGGGTGAAGTCCAGGAGCCCCTCAGAACTGCAGGGAACAAGCCAGAGGAGACACTGCTGGCCCGAGTTGCCTTGTCCCTTTGATTTCGGTGCCAGCCTTCATACGCAGCATTCAGCACACTCCTCCAGGTGACTCACTGCTCCCTCAACAGGTGTATAAAACCACTGCTGTCCGAGGGGCCTGCAGGCCTGTCCCTGAGATGACCGCGGACAGCTCCCAAGTTCAGGTGTGGCTGCTGTTCAGCTCTGGGCACCTGAGGCTGCTGAACTCGTTGGTTCTTGAAGTGAGAAGGTTCTCAGACCTTCCCCCAGAAATCAAGAAGTGGAATGTACTGATTGGAAACAGAACTCGGGGGCCTGCCCCCCTTTCCTGGCACTTGAGCAGGGACCGCACAGCCTGAAGCTTCCCTGCACATACCGTGCTTCCTCCCCAATTGGGGGTGTAATCTGTCCTAAGAAGACACTGCCTCCAAATCCAGCATAGAATCCACAGGATTTGGGCCAGGAGCGTGCACCTTGCGCGCACACGTGGTGACCCCTCACTCGGCCTCACCCCTCAGATGTCTGAGCCAGACCGGACTGTAGCCCTTTGCTTATGTCTGACCCCCAGGATCAGCACTGAAGGTCCTTTGATGTTTGGACGGGCTGGTGATGCTCGTAAATCCTTGTGTCACTGGGCGTGGGCCTGCTTGAGCTTGGGGCCAGGAGCCTGCTAGCAGAAGGGAGTGGGACGGAGGAGCCACCCACTTACAATGCCTGGAGGGGTGTTTCCCTCCAACTCAGGCTTGGTGAGCAGAGCAGTGCAGAACACTTGTCCCCTGGGGGGCACGGTCACAGTGGGAGGTGGCTTGAAAGGAGCGTGTCCCCACTTAGAAGGCCAAGTGGGAGCTGGTCTTCTTCATGCTAGCGGCCCTCCCTGTCCCAGCATCCAGGACAGCGTTTCACACCCAAAGACCATGGAGCAGAAAAGGGCAAACGCTGCAAATGCCACACATGCGTGCCCATCCCAGCACCCAGAGACAGTCCGACAGTGCCTATCCGCTGCCCTGGGGGCCAAGTGCCCGCTCCCACCTCAAGAGCAGTTAGAACTTTTGCTGCTGGTTCTCTTTTGGCAGGCGCACCAGCCTCCCTTGTGCCAGCTTAACTTCCAAGCCCAGAGAACACTTGGCAGCTGGGCCCCTTCAGCATGCCATGCCTGGCGATGCCTCCCATTGGCCTCGTGGGTGGCCTTGGAGATTGTCCCACTGGCTTCTTAAAGGAGAGGTTTCTCACCAGAGGAAAGCTCTTGGTCCCTCTCTGGTCTGCACCTCACCTGAGCCCAGGAGGCTGAGGAGGGAGCAGCCCGGTGGGGGCAGGGACGGCTTGCCCCGCTTCGCTCACCCCCAGGGCTGCCGGTGATTGCCCCTCATTTTCTTTAGGGCCCTGGCCCCCAACCCAGAGCTCCTCTGGCTTTCCCCACTGTCCGTTCAAACCAACACACCCACGCTCAGCCCGTGTGCAGGCGTGGAGGGGGCACTTCTACCCACGTTTGGCCCAACAGGTCAGAGGAAAGGGCCCAGAGCCACAGGCTGTGGAATCAGCAAGAGCTGGCGCCGCCCGCCCACTCCTGGGCCCCACAGCATCCCGGCGCTCCCCGAACCCCAGGAAGTCGCGTTAGGAGCGGCCCCCTGCTCCGAGAAGACGCGCTCTGCCGGCCCGGGGGAGCCGGCCCGGTCTAGGGCGCACGACGGGGGGACTTGGTGCGGACCAAGGGGACCCCG